TGGAGTAACTGCTAGAACATTCTAGAACTTTCCAGTAATATAAATAGTATAAATACAGGGGCCTTAAGCTCACCAGTTCAGTTTATTTTCAGCTGCCGAAGTGGATAGATATCTGCATTTTTCTGCGATGACATCAAGAGGCTGCAAGCATCCGGCAGACGCATTTTGCTATGTCTGCAGCCAATTTACCAAAACAAGAGCGAAAAAGTAGCCTGTGGAAGCATCTGCTAAGATGTGTGAGGCCTACAAGGCACATTTCGGCATGCCTGTCAGGGATCAAGACAAACCCTGGGCACCTCATTTCACCTGCGAGCAATGCAAAAAACTCTGGAAGGTAAGATGGACAACTGTTGCTTGGAATTTTATGTTATAAAATTTGTTAACATTTTTAAAATTAAAAAAGTTTTTAATTTTAAAATGTTTTACAATTTTCAATATTATTGAAAAAATATAACATTCAAAATGTCGCGAGAATCTGGAACACATTAGTCATGGGTGAAATGTATTTTTGTAGGATGGTACAGAGGGGAAAAGAGAGCCATGAAGTTCACTATCCAAAGAATTTGGCGGAAACCCACTGACCACTCAAGCAACTGCTACTTCTGCATGGTGAACCCTTCTCAAAGTCGGGCTGGGAAGAATGCACCTGCTATCATGTATCCGGACCTTCCTTCATCCATCGCCCCAGTGCCACACTGCCATGAGCTCCCCATACCCACTCCTCCAGAGAGAGCAGCAGTCTTTAGAAGAGAGCAGCAAGTTAGAGAGCGAGGAAGACGTAGATCCAGATGACAATTTCAGACGTGGAGCTGAGGAGAGAAATCCATACTATCCCAAACAAAAATACTTCAACGACTTGATCAGAGATCTTGGTCTCACCAAGTCCAATGCCAAGCTGTTGATGTCTAGGCTCAAGCAGTGGAACTTGTTGAATAAAAGTGTGCAAGTCGCAGATCAGAGGAAGCATCACCAACCTTTTTGCAGCTTCTTCACCCGTCAAGATGGGCTCTGCTTCTGCGACAATGTGACCAGTCTGTTCGAGGCAATCGGAATCGCCTGTAACCAGAATGAGTGGCGCCTCTTCATTGACAGCTCATCCAGGAGCCTCAAAGCCGTGCTGCTCCATAATGGTAACAGGTACCCGTCTCTTCCCCTGGCTCACTCGGTGCACCTCAAAGAGGATTGCAACAGCATCAAGACCTTGCTGGACGCCTTGAATACGGCTGAGAGGTCATGGGAGACTTCAAAATGGTAGCATTCCTGATGGGTCTCCAAGGCGATTTTACCAAGTCTCCCTATCTTTGCCTTTGGGACAGCAGGGACACCAAGGCGCACTACCACAGGCGGGACTGGCCACAGCAGACCGAGTTCTCTGTGGGGAGGAACAACGTCAAGTGGGAGCCACTGGTGGACCCCTGGAAGGTGCTGATGCCACCACTGCACATCAAATTTGTCTTATGAAACAATTTGTCAGAGCTGTAGATAAGGAGTCGGCAGCCTTCATGTACCTTCAATACTTCCCTAAGCTATCTGAGGCAAAAGTCAAAGCCGGTCTCTTCGTCGGATCACATATAAAGAAGATCCTGGAGTACAATTAATTCCCCAAGAAGCTCACTAGTAAGGACAAAGCGGCTTGGAACAGCTTTGCCGAAATGGTTCGTGGCTTCCTGGGCAATCACAAGGTCCGAAACTATGTGGAGCTGGTTGAGACTCTGGTCAAGAACTACGGCACAATGGGCTGTGTCGGGTGGTGGAGGGTTACGACACAATTATACTTACGCGATCTAACCCAAAAAACTGTATTATGAAGAGCTTCATGGCCCATAGGATTCCTCCTGCAGTTTAAATACAGATTCTGATCCCCAACGTTTGCGTTAACGTACACAACAGGGATAAAAGTGCGTGTTATTGTTCTAAATATACTGCATATGAACCGCAAACGACGTCAAGTCAAAGTGTCTTCTTGTTCAAACAAGCACGGGCGGGTGCTTATCTCCAATGCTGGCCCCGACTCGGTGAAGGCAATTCCACATTCCTGTGGCGGAGACCAGTCGGCCCGGAGAGAAACTACTGAGTTGTCAATGTAGTAACATCACAAGGATTGTCAAAGGGCTTAACATACATCTCGGTGCAGATACTACAAATAACTAAGTTTCTAACAAATATGTGTAAAAAATACACGTAAAAGGGCATTTTGCGACGTCTAAAAGACATTTAAAAGCTGTTTAAAATTTACTGTTCAGTGCCGCGGAGAAATTCAGGGACCATTCCGCTCGAAATTAAATATCGTCTTCGTTAACGCCAAAACAAGAGCTTTCACTTAAAAGATGAACAACAACAGTAAACAATGTAAAATTACGTCGAAAATCACTGAATTAAGCGGCATTAAGCAACGAGAACGCCCCTACAGGCCTCAGCTCGACTAGCTCTCCAGTAAAATCGCGTTTACGGCACGTCGTAAAGTTATATTTACAATCGTAAATCGAACACAACGGGTGTCGTAAAACGGGCACACACGCGGGTGCGGTTTATCTGAACTAGGGGTTTCACTCTTGGTATATTTATAATTCATACGTAGCATTAGTATGGAAGTAGCAACGTTAAATAATTTTGGCTTCCTCTGGTCTACCACCGTTTAAGACGAGGCTCAAAAGAAAGCCGTCTCTGGTGTGGACCAATCAGCTTCAAGGACAATGCATCTATTATCAGAGTATGTTTCTTTTTGCATTCTGACCACAAGAATTGTGGTTAATGCAGACATCATTCCCTGTAAAAGGTTTCAGTTTGGTGTTTTAACATCTTAACACCTGTTTTGTTGCCAGAAAAAAGGGCAAAAAACCTATTATCACAATTGTAATTAATGTTTAAGGCGCATCCCTGCAATTTCTTGCTTGCGCCACTGTTGGCGGATTCGCCTCCACAAGGAAGACCTCCAATGATAACACCGAATCTGTACTACAATGCTAATAATTGCACAATAGGAACCCCAGCACTTGGCCGTGTTAACGATTACTTTTTTAAATGAGCAAATTCCATATCAGGCAGCAGTCTGCGTGTGAAATTGAGCACAAGGCGGACCTCACTTAGCACTCAAGATGCGTTCCTGGATAAGTGAGCGCTAACCGAATCAGCGCTAAAAGCGCTCGTTAAACCATTGCACGTTTGGGGATACGTTCCCGACAACGTTATTGTATTCGTATGAACAATGCACTATAATACTGTGTGAATTGTACCTACCCTAAATTTGTCATACATATTGAACTAATTCACCATGCATAAAAAAATATAATGCCTCATATAACTTCAATAATATACGCAGGATTGAGCCTTGGATTGTGCTTTGGATGGTTGACCACGGTGCGTACAATTTCTTGGCTGCTGTGGGGTTGTGTTGTCAGCAAAGGGCAGTGCAGCATAGTTCATTGTTGTGCTGTACTGTGTTATGCTCCCACGTATATTCTACCTGCCTTCACCAACGCGCAAATGACCATCGAGGTGAAGTATGGCCAGACAACCACCCATGACCAACCAGTGTAGGGAGGCCATGATCCAGCGGTGGATTTACAAATGGGGCCTGTCTAAATTATTAAGTATTACATTTAATTACTGGAATATATGGTTTGCCTGGTGGCAAGACAATGTGAGCATTATAGTATTTGGATGCTATACATTTCCACATGATAAGCCACTTCGTTGAGCTATCATCTTTGCCAGGTCGCTTCTGAAAAAGAGCTATATAGCTCAGTGGGCATTAACTGGTAGAATAAAAAAAATAGTTTAGTTTATTAACAGTCGAGCCCCAATGCTTTCAACGCTCATTTATGAACTATGTATACTACAAAAATATTCCACCGTTTGTATTTAAATATATAATTTATAAACACAAGTCAATAACCACTGCTGCATTGTAGAGCCGCTTAGTGGTTTAAATCGGCATAATAAGTCAAAGGGATTTCTTGCTCATCTCTTATTCACAGCCCTGAACCGGTGGTAGAAATTCCACGTTCATATGTCGAGTCCATCCGAAGAAAACCGCGATTGACTTCACCACAAGGTAGTTATATACATCGTATCTATCCTCATCTCTTACACAGCCCTGAACCGGTGGTAGAAATTCCACGTTCATATGTCGAGTCCATCCGAAGAAAACCGCGATTGACTTCACCACAAGGTAGTTATATACATCGTATCTATCCAGGAGGTAATGATGAGCAGAGTCAACCCCCAGACAGGATTTGACCTCACAACCTTCCCATTGTGAGCCACTCTACCGCTGGGCAACTGAGGTGCATTAGCAAATAACAGGAGCTTTCCCATGTCCCGATGTTATTCATCAGAATCTAACAAACTTGTTTTGACAGTATCGATATTAGTTGGTATTCGAAAACATCTCGATATGGATTTAATTTGATGGGTTTGGTAATTTCGCAATTTATGAAATATTCGGTCTACATTGTGGGCGGAGTGGTGACTCAGTGGTTCGTGCAATGCTTGATGAACTCAGTTACCCGAGTTTGATTCCAGGCCACGGCTAACATCAGTGGCGACGAATATCTGAAGTCTAAACCAGTGCCGGTCACCTACATTCACCAACCCACCCTTGACCAGCGTGACGAAGTATGGAACTCATCCAGCAGTTGATAGTCAAAAGAAACGGGCTATTAACAGGGGCACGCACTTTGTATGAAATTGATTTGTGTTTTAACCGAGCAGATTGGTAAATGTAAAATACGTAACTTTGTGCATCGCGAAGCGTGTAGTTTGGAAACCTTGAAAAGCTACACACGAGGAAGGCACAACTGCAATATGGAACTCCCTTCCCTCAAGACATTCGTTTCTGTCGACTTCCTGCCCCAGTCCAGACTCAAGACCTACATACGCTTTCTTCTGCCATGACTATCTCTTCTCTACAATATATCCATGCTGTGTATATTACCGGCGATGTGATGCGCATGTCACACTTTTTTAGAGTGCCTTGAGATGTCTTTTTATTTAGACTCTATGTAAATTCAAATTGTATGGCATTTTATTGTGTCTCGCTGGCGTGGTTAAGAAGAGAGGAAGCTGGCTTTGGAAGTGGGCGTGTGTCAAACGTCAGATTGATTTACGTGACTCAACAGTGTATGTGAAAGCCGCGTGGTAAGGGAACCCTGCGTAAAATAAAAGTTTTTCTTCGCCCAATTTTTCCTATTTGGCAAAGCAGGGTCGGCCCACACCACACTTCCACTTGAAAGGACGTCATGCGTCGATTTTAACAGGGTTAATAATTACACTGAACAGGTTATTTGGTGATACAGGTACCGCGTTGGTAGTGCACGAAGGCAAAATAGCAAAATAAACTCAACACATTCTTCAATAAGACTGCTGTAAAAATTAAAGATGATATAATAGGTGACGTTTTGGGCAGTTGCTGGCCAATTATATATATTTTTTCTTTTTAAGGCAGTCTTCTTGAGGGATCCGTTAAATGGTTTAAAAGTAATTACACAGAGGAAATCGTTTTCATCTTTTAACAAGGCTGCGACAAGTGAATTATATAAAATGTGGCTAATTTCTGCTACATATATTGTAAATAATGAAATGTGTGCAGCAAGTAATGAGTGACTGAAATAATACATAACGTAGTAAAAACGTTTAGTCCCATCATAATGCCCTTTTATTTGTCATGCTCTTTATTTGCCGAGCGAAGCCTCACTGAAATCTTGAAACATTTTGTCTACACGAGGGTCCTGCATTTGGATGTTTGGCCAATTTGCATTAATGAGCCATATGTGGGAGGAAACCGGAGTGCACAGAGAAAACCCACACATACGTGGGGTAACTCAAACCTTCGTACAGATCCACAAATCCATCTTGCTGAAATGCCATCTCAAGGCCAAGCCTAAAACATAGTATTTCCCAGCAGTCACCCATCCAAGTATAATTCTCACCAGGCATATATATTCAGCTTAGCCTTCAATATCCAATTCGTTTGGCTACAGCAGTGGTGACTTGCAGTAGGTTCAGGATGTTTGGGAGCTTTGAATTTGAGGATTCTGTTTGGGTTATTTTATCACATTTTTGTTGCCTCAGATGAAGCCCCACCCCATGCCCAGACAAGATGCACTTATGAGGGAGAACACTCAAATCCCACACAGATGGCTTTCACCATCCTGCTTGCTCCATCAAGGTAACACCTTGTTGCCCAGCAGGTGGGTGCCTCGGCATGTTTTACTATCAATTATTTGTGTTAAACCACAAATGACTGCCAGGCTGTGGCCCCGGTGACCCTGAGTTCGATTCTGGGCCACAGCTGAATATCAGCGGCGAATGGCACCTTCACCAGTTCTGAGCCCTCCTCACTTCATCAATACGCACTGAGCGGCGTTTTGCAGTATCGCCAAAACAAGCCCCGTGACTAACACAGCATGGGAGACCTTCGTCCAACAGTGAATTGGCAAAGGGCTGTACATTATTATTAAAATCGAAAAAACGTCTAGATACCGTGGTTATATTTGCAACGCTGTACATCATTCTGAAGCAGCCTGTATGAGAAGATAGGGTAATGGTAGGTAAGCAATACAAAGAGGGCCAAACCTTGAAAAACAAACACAGTGGCTGTATTAGGCTACTAACATACTGGTGCAATACAAAATGTTGAGCACAATTCGTAGTTACAATCTTACACAATCAGTGGTGTACATATTTACAGCCTGCATGCACCGCCTTACTTCTTAGCACCAGTAGGCCGAGAGTGTTTAACATACGCAAAGGCATTGCATTCACGATAGCACAGTAAATTCGAAAGAAAATGATTGTACACTGGATTCTGTGCGAACACAAGTTGAGGTAGAAGTTAATTATGTAAGTTTATTACTGAAATAAATAAAGTACTTAGAGTAAGCACATGAAAGATATGACTGATAATATTTTTTTACTTAATTAAAAGTGAAATCTTCTTTTTTTAGAAATAAAAACTGGAATACAATAAACATAACTTTAACGAAAAATAACCATATATAATCTGTAACACGTATGCAACAACTTAAAATCATTTCAATATGTTCTTTTGATAGATATGTTTAATAAATAGAGAACTAGCGACTAAAATAACAATGAAAATGTCAAAAACAACAACAATAATAATATCGACAAACAATACACATTTACAATTTTACATGAAATATTCATGTAGTCGTACACAGCAAAATAACTTATGGGAGGTGAATGGATCACTTATGATGGCTTAATGCGTAAAAGTCACGTGCGTGTGACCAATTTTTTTATCCAAACATCCAGGCAGGAGTGGAGGGTTTTTAATTCAGCTACTGGTAGTATTGCGCTTCTCATCAGCATCACCATCATCATCACTGTCATCATCAAAGAAAAAGATAAACATCTTTAACAGACTTTTGGGGCACGTGCTGTCAGCGAGCACCTATTAAGGCCGGAACGGTACACGAGGGGGTGGGTGGCCAGCACCACGCCCGACCGCCTTTCTCTCCCCAGTGGCGATGTTTACACACCCCATCAGGTACTTATTTGAGCCTGAGTCAACATAGGGGAGGCCCAGGACCGGATCAGATAATCGTGACTGGTGCTGGCCGTGAACGGGAATCGAACTCGGGTCGCCGGGTTTGTAGCGCAGCGCGCTAACCGCTACACCACCGCTCACTATCATCGTCACGACCACCGCCACCACCACCACCATCAATCACGCGCGCCCGGATTTGCTGGACAGGGCACAGGCGCAGGACGTGTCAATCCGTATCCACCTCCATCCTACGTGACGGGTGCCCTCCATGGTCAGTGCCCGCACATAAGACTGCGTGGTCCTGCACGTGGAGTTCCAGTGCTTCTTGTCCACGCCACGGCAGCCGTCACGCGTGTTTCCCGTCGCCTTGCAGCGCGTCTCGAAGAAGTACTGCCGCAAGGGAACCGTGCTAGTCCTCATCTCATCCAACACTGTCACTCGATTGCCCTTGATGTCCACCGCCGTGCTCTTGTCCGTCACCCACACGCTCTCGCTGTCGCACACCGACAACTCGCCGCGGTCGGCGCGGTGTGGATCTCCGGATGACGACGACAATGAGGACGACGACGACGATGATGATGATGATGATGACGAGCTGCTGGCATGACGTCGGTCGCGTCGATGATGCGTGCTGTTCGCCACTGACACAACAGATGCGCTGAAGTCGTCCACGGGGAAAAGTAAAGGTGGACCACTGGGAGGCAGCTCGCTTAGAATCACCCGCGACGAGAACAACTCCTCCTCGTCCGCGTGGCTCAGGAGACCCGCATCTATGACGCTGATGCGAGGCCTCGGTTGCTGTTGCTGCTGCTGTGACCCTGTGTCCCTCGCTCTCCTTGGATGCGAATCTCCCCACCCGACCTCCTCCTGCAAAGTCTTGAGCAGAACCTCCTTGAGCATCTCAGTCCTGAGCAGCGGGATGAGCAAGGTCCTGGCAGAATCGTCGGAAATGACCACGGCGTGTTGCTCGTGAATGGGAGCAGCTGCCGGTCCCTTTATGAACATCGTGAGCATTGTGAGAAGCACAAATCTCATTACTCTCTGCCCCTGCAAAAACTGGCGAGATTGAGACAGAACAAAAAAAAACACAATGAAACAGTAAGACTTAATATCGAGCAACTGTTGAGTGCGCCTGTCTGAAAAAACTGCCCCCGCATATTTGATTGTGTCCACCTAAGTTAAGGCGACACCAAGACAATCTCCACCTCTTTGAGGAGTTCTCTATATCGACGTTACGTTTTTTTTCCCCCCAGATAAGTTGTGGCACCTACGTTTGACATGACGCGAATATGCGCGCGTTCAAGGCCGACGTAAAAATCTTGCTCGCGTGAAAAAGAGCCACCGATGCACAAAACTAGAATTATTCATTCAAATCTACCCACAAAGTTCAGTGGATATGAGGCAGGGTACGAGTGCATAATTAGAGCCACCGCACAAATGTTTACCGCTCGTGATAGAGGGCGAATACTTTCCCCCAGCCTCAACCACAACTTTGCGTTTCAGGTGACGGACTCATATTACCGCCATCGTTGAACTGGGTGCATGAATTGCACGGAGGGTATTGTAATTTGACCCTCAAAACGGATGTCATTACTTACGAATAACGTTCACGTCAGGTGTCGTGCACACTCATTGCGTGTATTTCATGACAGGCAATCCAAACATGGCAATAGGAAGTAATTGGAGTGATGAATGTGGATTACTGGTTAGAGTGGGTGCCTCGTAAGTGAACGGTTTTAAATAGTTTAACCACTCGGACTCTTGTTGTTGTTCATTCCTCCAAGGCTTTGTTGGAAGTCGACTTTAGTTGTCCTCCTAAAACACTCGTCCTCTAAATAACAGATCAGCACTGGTGGTGCACGCTTGTTTTTAGCTGATAATAGCTTTGCATTTTTTTTAACTGCTTAAATGTTGTCGTTTTATGGAGGGTCCTGCATTTGGGAGGTTTCACCAATTGAATGATGAATGTCTGGAATTACTGGCAAACATCACGTCTATTATCTACTCCAAAATATAAAGGGCCATTGCACAAAACGTCAGTTTATTACACATGTGTGTTGTAAGGCAGTGTTAATATTAAACGTAGTTGTGCACGATAGTTGCCTCATGGATGTACTGTCTCTTGGCATATGAATGTGGAATATCCACCATTGCTCAGTGTGACCTACGGAGATGTGCGCTTAGTAACTCTGATTGCGGACGCAGGGACGCTATGTACATTTCACTCTCGTGAAATTAATTGCTTTATGTGACCCGAGAAACCCCATGAAAGAAAATATACTGGGCAATAGGTATTTTAATTATGCACAGCATGACTCCGCTAATTTAATAGGGTCTCTTACAATACAATGCAAGTTAATTGGCTGCACGTGGAGGATACAATTTGGACATACGTAGTGTCTCAATGTAACTGCTGCTCATATTAATGCATTATATTAATTCGCACCTTAAATTCATTGATATTCACCTCGTATTAATTCTCACCTCCGATTCGCACGGTTGGCCACGTTGCTAATCGGGCTGTATAACGCGCATGGCTCAATGCTGCTATAACCGTAGCGTCCAGCAGATGTCCCCAAAACCCTTCTGTAAGCAGACTACGAAACGAGCCAACGAAGACAACGACCCCCCGTATAGCCTCAATATTATTGCAGACTGCAGTGGTAAGTGCTGTTAACGAGTGCCCTTTACGGACAGCACACTACATGAACTGGTGATTTGGCCAGCACCACGCCCGGCCACCTTTGTCTCCCCAGCGATGTTTACGCACAGTACGTCTGAGTCGACCTAGGTAATAAAGTTAGCGATAGGTATTTCAGATGCAATCGTATTTGTAGCCCAGATTACGTGTTCATAGCTCATCATAATGGGTGATTGGTGCTCCATTAACAATAGATTATTTTATTTTCTACCTGCGTGACTTTACCGAAAGAACCAAAGAGTATGAATAGATTACGTCCCTGCACATACACAAACTACATTTGACAATGAATCCAAACAACGACTCAAGCTCATTATTATCTTTGTTATTGTATGTACCGTTACATATACTGACAATGGCCTATGAACAATTCGCCCGATCTTGTCGGATCTAGGAAGCTTAAGAGTGTTGAGCCTGGATAGTGCGTGGATGGGCGACCACCATGCATAAAACATAAGTTGTAGGCTGCTGCAGGATTGCATTAACCCGTTGTGGTTGTACTTAACTATGCTCCAACGTTTACATTCGCACGGGTTTCACCAACTCGCACTGACCAAGCGTGGTGAAGGAGTATGGTCAAAAATGAGTCGTACGTCTGCAATTGGGAAAGGGCTTCATTCATTTCCCCACGATTATCTGCGTCAGGAATGTAATGGCATTCCCCTGGTTTTGGCAGGCCACCCATAGATAGCGTCGTCAAAGCCAGACTGTGCTGAGAACGCGCTCGAATCTACTACTGACATTGGACAGCAATATCGACAGCGTTCACACGACATGTGCACAAAACCTCCACACCGTTTACTCTGCGCGCTATTAATTGACGGCCGTTACCATTCCAGCGACCGAGTTGCCGCAAGCTGCAGTCGCCGTGAATGTCAATCAGACCGCAGTAGTGCTTTAGTGAGCGAAATCTGATTGGTTGTTACGAACTTGATTATCATTATCTTAAATTTCACACTTAACTTACAATTTAACAATCTTTGAAACAGCGTATTCAACCAAATCATGCGTTAATTGTGTTTTAACCGACCGTTTGTGTTGCTTTATATAGTTTCCAAATTTTGCTAAACCCTGTTTGATTTAGTGTGATGTTCCGTCTCTCTGTATCCCCTGGTATATCTGTGTTAATTCCCCCTACTTAAGGTCTATATATATATCTGCGGTTATGTGTTTCCTCTATCTGATGATGATTGCTTGTGTTGCGATCGAAACGTCGTATGCTATTATATAATATTATTTTTTTATTATTTCTACGTGACTTTACCGAAAAAAACAAAGAGTGGTTGTTACGAATTGGTATTAACGCTCGCACGTGTCCAGGCCTTGCCGTCAACCCACTGCTAGAGCAGATGAACACCAAGGACGCGGTGTTGGTCGTAGGGATTTTTTATATATGTGTCTATACATTTTAGGATAACTTTCGTTTGTTGTGCCCCCCCCACCCCCGCACCTCCGATCAGCACGGTTGGCTACGTACGGTTCGAAATAAGTTCAACATACATACGAAGGGGAGCATAAAATAGTATACTTTTTTTTATTCTGCTGCACTGTCCTCTGCTGTCATTAACTGTAGCCCCGCAACCTACAGCATCTATTTTACAACCGTGGTCGACACCACTTAGCTTCCGAAATCTGATGAGACAGGACGCGTTCTGGGTGATTTGGTTCGTCGAATAATAATAAAAATAACGCTATTTATTTACCCAAGGATGCCTCAATGAGTCTCGAGACAATTTTTTTGTTCAGGAGGGTCCTGCAATTGGGATTACTGGTCCATTCCACGAATGTGTAAGGAAAGCAAAGTTCCCATAGAAAGATCAACACGCACACGTTATGGAAAAACCCAAAGCTCCGCAAAGATGGATTCAGGAACATTTGCCGTAAAGACATGTCCTGGTCACCTCGCACACATATATACCCCATAGGCGTAACGAACATTCTTAACATTTCACTTCCTTGAACAGGACATTACTTTTTACTGCGACCAAAGGTGGTGTAACAGCTGGCTGACTGTTATTGGTATCATTAGCACTCACGGTGTGAACCTACGAGATATAACCGTGAAGGTAGCATCCATTCAGGTTGCATAGCGATATCAATAAAACGACGTAAATACCAACACACAGACGGGTCTCTTCCCTCTAAACCTCCACGTCTTCGCCGTGGCGTTGGCGACACGCGTAGTATCGATATATCAGAGAGCTCCAGCTGTTTGACAATATCACGGATACGATTATTTCGATGCTCCTGTTGACGTGCTGCTGAAGATCAGTGTGTGAAATCCGTGGCTCACAAAACGCCCTGTCACAACGAAGGGCATTGATCTGCTTGTGCTACAAGGTGACTGGGATATATCTCAGTACAGAAATGGGCAATGTGGATTATTCAGTATTTTACCCTTCTCGTATGCTCGGTAGGTTTTGGCCAGGTACGTCGGTTTTTACTCACATGAACCCAAACAATGACGAACGCCAAACATCGCGATGCCAATACCTTCCTGAAAACCAGTCTTGGGACTCAATGAGACTTTTTCTGGGTAAATAAATGGAATAATTATTGAATCTTGCCCAAGCCGTAGTATACAATGGAATAGTGCACGATATAATTATTTATTTATACCCAGTTAAGATCTCATTCAGACAAATAGTTTATTTTCCAAAAGAGACCTGGGTTTATACGTTTCAGCCAATCTTAGTGTCGACCTTAGTTTGTCCATCGCTTATTGCACCGACATAAACAAGCCAACGTCCACACTTCCGCACATAATTTGCGGAATGCACCTGGGAAAAAGTCGACCGAACGGGTTTTCTCTAGATTTGAAGCTTTCGTGACTGCAGGAATCCATACTCTCTGGTTCTTTCGGTAAAGTCACGTAGATAGAAAACATAATAAAATGAAACACGACGTCCGTCTTCGGACGCTTGTGTTGCAACCGAAACGTCGTGTTTTCTTTTAGTATGTTTTCTATCTACGTGACTTTACCGAAAGAACCAGAGAGTATAGCGTTTCCTCTAGTCTGTTCCTTATGCACCTTGAACACATCCATTTTTTTAAAGAAAATAATGAATCTCCAGACTAATTTCTAGGAGGGTATTGCATTGGGATAGTTGGTCAGTTATATTAATAAGCATTTGCCTACATTTTGGTGGAAACTCGAGTATTCGATAAAAAAAACCCACACACACTATAGGCTAACGCTCAAAGCTTCGCACAGATAGCTTAAATAATCCATGGCTCTACTGAAACGTCCTGGCCACCTGGCATCCCCCCACCCAATGACTACAACATCGGTAGTCTCAGACAGTCTCCCATGCAAGTACTAACCAGGCTCAATGCTCCTCAGCTTCCGAGACCCGACGAGATCGCTCGGGCGCGTTCAAGATGATGATTTTGGTCGGAGGCAACGGCTGTTACCTCGAATGGCACACGTGCAGCTGGGGGGCGGGGTCTTTCTTTCTCTTCATCTTCTTAATTGGTTTACGCCGTGCGAGTGCTCACTCAGCAACACGTGCGTTTCACGTGTCTCTATCAGTACCTTGTGTATTTAAACTTGGCGAGAAGCCATGAAGGGAACAACGCTGTTCACCTTCAGTTAGCCTCGTATATATGTAGCATACGTTCTTTCTCAAGCTGAGGACCAATTACCATAAATCCGCCCTGTCTTCTTCTTAGATATTGAATGCTAAGAATGATTGAGCCGAGGTAAGTAATTGCATAGGTGACCACCACCAAGGCTTGTCAGGTGTTGTCGGTGTTGTTGGCTGCAATGTGGTAAAAAGCTACTAAACTAGTCAACTATTTGTTTTTATTTTACCAGGTAAAACCCACTGAACTATTAGGTATTTTTTTCAGAAGCGACCTGGCCACAAATGATAACCCAACAACGTACCTTATCTGGAAATTTATAGCAGCCAAATATTTTACATGCACGATTATAAATGTGTAGGGAAAAACCAGAGGGCCCGGAGAAAAATCCACGCGACCACGGGGAGAGAGAGAGAGAGACACGCAAACTCCAAATATACAGCAGGCGTCAGGGTCGGGATCGAACCCATGAGCTCCTGTATACCAAGCGAGGTAATTAACATCTCGCCACCGTGGTAAAGAGATTGCAGTGCTGCATGTCAGCCCCTCAATCGCACGATGGTTGTCTCTGGGTTCTCCGGTTTCCTCCTGCATGAAACCAAACACTAAAGAACGGAATCGCCCAAACATCCCAATGTAGGATGCTCCTGGAAAAAAATAAACTACGAGCATCGAGAGCCAGACTTTCTGCGGTAAAATATTGTTAAATATAATAATTATGCCAAAATAAGTTCGCATACGTGTACTACTTTCAGCATGAATAAAGCCAACATTCTGCAGTGCAAATAACGGGGGGGAATGCACTGTTTATGCGGGAGAGACTGCCTAACGATTATAAAGGCTGAGGGCAAGTCAATGATTTGCTCCGGGGAGCTGGGAGGTCCTCACGAACCCCCCTCGAGCATCGGCCACGTTATGTAACACTTGCCACAGACCAGTTCGAGCCTATTGACCTGGCGCGTCGGCTGTAGCCTGCGCTAATCGATCGTTTGGCAAAGGGTGTTTAAAGTCTGAACCGCAGACGCAACAAGTATGAGAATAAATAATGAAATTAACGATCGGATGAATGAATGAGAAGTGAAAGGATGGATGGGCTAATAATGCGTGAACATGAATGCATCTGCTCAAAAGAACGAGGACAAATTGTTTGAGGAATTAACACGTGTTACGTCGCGTGATATTAGGATGCATGCTTGACTATGCTAATGCGTCAAACCAATTGTTCACTCATGAAAACCTTCTTGAGTCTGAATACTCTTTTTTTTCGAAAGGATTTTCCTGCATTGGGGCGTTTGATAAATTCCATCAGTGAGAGTTCGGTTCAACGCGGGAGCAAATCGGAGTACCCGGAGAAAACCCATCAGGAGTACGAGTGTGATGACAATTATCTGCACCTCCTCTTAGCGCGACCTTGGCAGCTCCGCGCCTACAATAATTGACAAGCCACGGCGGTCATCCACCCAAGTATTTGCCAGGCCCAGCTTTGCTTAGCTTCCGAGATCCGACAAGATCGGGCGCATTTAAGGGGTTGACATACAGTAGTCGTATTTACCCTTCTAAGTCAAGTACCCCGTCTGCTGCCGGTGACGTCTTTACTTGAAAAGTGCTGGCGAGGAATGCAGTAGCTTAATGGAATGTGTTTTCGTGTGTCCGTATGCCAACGTGTACGTATACATTCGCGCATATATGTCGCGAGCATTCCACGTTGGCCTTCGGCAAAGCGTGAACTTCACACTGTTTACGCCTTTCCATAGTGGCGCCTTTTTTTGCAGCTGCCCAATAAGTTCTGCGTATACACGCGTGCGTTTGTGATCATCTCGGCTCGGGTCGTACACGTGGGCTGCTGGCTATTGTAGTTATTTACAGCGCGCGATGTTCCTGGCACCGGTCAGGAGAGGGAACGCGCCCCCGCATTCACTGCGATAAGAGCCCAGTTGAACCTGGCGCACGCGTGTAAACTATGGTCGGACGTGTTAATAAACACTGCATGCAATCCCGCTGTTTACATGCTAGGGACACAGCCTTTCGCTCCATGCTGTTTATCAACACATCGCGTACACATTCTCGTTTGAACGGCCCTTCAATCCACTGCTGGATGAAAGTCTTTTCTTCAAGCAACGTCGGTCAAAGGGATCAGCAGACCGTACTTTACTATGCTGGTTACTGTGGATTGCAGAATTGTGGGCCCAGGACCAGTTCAGATATCACTCACTACTGATGTTAGCCGTGGTAGCGAATCAAGCTCAGGCAGCCGGATTCGTTATGCAGCGTGTTAACCACTGTGCCTCCACTCCACAGTACCTAACAAGAGCCTAACACACATTCCCATTCTATTTGCTATTAAACTTTTTTTTGTACATCTATGAACTTTCTTGGCGATATATATATAGTATCGCTACTAAATGCAACGAAAACTAGTTACCATAATCTAAGGGATAGGGGTTGCTACGTTTAATACACGATTGACCGGCATGGTGAAGTATGGTAAAATAATCCTCACGAGATGCACAAACGTGAGGAGGTGCTCACCCAGCAGTGGACTGACAAAGAGTTGTACACACGGTCCATCCAATACACTATATACCCTAAACTGGCTCTAGTGTAACTCAGTGCTCGAGTGTAGACTGATGAATCAATTGATTATATTATATAGCGCATTATATACCTTCATATACTCTTTGGTTCTTTCGGTAAATGTATTTCTAACTTCGTGACTTTACCGAAAGAATCAAATAGTATGGATTCCTGCAGTCACGAAAGCTTCAAGTCAAGATACCTTCATATACCCAGAGTAGTGACTGTCAAAGCTGCATCTGCACGTTTTTTCACACGTTTGTGTATATTTATACACGTGGTATAGCCGACAGTGCTGATTAAATATCTACTCACCTAATTACGTGCAAACCCTTCAACGTAAGCTAGAGCATGGGTTGTTCTTCGTCTAGGATCGTAGTTGGATGACAGTAGTGCTCATAAAATAACTCAACTGTAGCGTGTTTTGGTGGAACGCTTGTGTTTGTTGACACCTCTTGCTCACGGCGAAATGAGACGTAGCTTCCGAACCCTTTCGCAATGACTTGTAACCAGGTGAATGTAAACTAGTGTCATAATTTTTTATGAAACTATTCTGGAACTCATTCCCCCTCCCCCCCAACCATCCGTTCTGCCGACTCCCTGTCCTTGTGCAAGCCCCGAATCAAAAGCGTTATTTATTCCTGCCCCTTTACTACATGATACATACACCAACTGTTGTTGTACTCCGTATTGGGATACGGTCGCATTCAGATGCCCCTGTATAGATGCGAATGATATTGTTTTCGTCTGGAACTGACGAGAAACTGCCCCACTCAAGTTGCGAGAACTACTCGCAATGAAGCTGCGACACAGTGCAACGTGTTAATCAGGCGATAACAAGCAATTTAACTCACTTGAGTTGTCATTTCTCCTCCTCATCAGAATCACATCCTTTACACCGGCCGATGCAACGCGGGTTGAACTGGAGCGGATGAGTTGAGTTCCCGAAGGCATCCGCATGGCAGCTCGGCACGTCGCTGCGCTCATTTGCGCTCGCGGTTCTTCACCGCGCCTCTCTCAAAACCACTGCCGAACTAACTCCGAGCGCCCGGGGAGACCGCCGCACGGCACGGCGAGAGCAGCGAGCGGCCTGAACTCCCATAGGGAGTAGAGAGAGAGAGAGCGCACTGAGAGAGGGGAGCGCGGCTGGTGCTGGTGGTGGTGGTCACTAAGCCGTGATCCACCCAGCCCGATCGCCCGCCCGCCCGCCCGCCCGTCAGCCCAAAGGGCAACGTCGCTCAAATGTAACGCGGAGACACTCGCTACTCTGAAATGAAAGTTGAAAGTCGAGGACGGAAAAGAAAAAAAACACTAAAAGCAAGTCTTTTTTCATAAAGCAAGCGACTGACTAATCTTGCAAAACGTTGCGACAATAATATGGAACTTCATAAACTTGTTTAAACTGATGCGTTTAAAGAAATGCACTGCGCCTAGATAGAAATACAATGCGCACGCCTACTGCGGCGTTCGTTCTACGACATCACAGCGGGCGTGATGCGCTGCGCAGAGAGAGGGGGGGAGAGAGAAAACGGAGTCGCACAACTGGCGGGAACAGAGCGCACCCACCCACACCGCGCTCCTCTCTCGCTCCAGTTGCCGACCTTTGACTCCGACTCTCGCTGCGCTCACAGTTTTGGCAGCGCCCGGGGCGCTGTCCCTGGTGCTGAACATCATGCGGTGGGGGGGGGGGGGGTGTTCGCTAACAGCACTTGCCTCCGACAGTCTGTTGAGGCTATACGGGGGATCTTTGTCTTTGTGTGTATGTGGTGCTGGCCACCCACCCCCTTGTGTGCCGTACTGGCCTTCTTAGGTTCTACTAGCTAACAGCAGTTGCCATAAAAGTCTGTTCAGGCTATACGGGTAATTTTGTGTTTATAATAGGTGGAAGGTGCCTAGTATCTATGAAGCCAATATGGGATCTTCTTGAAAGCGAAATATTAAGTAGTATTTATCCTTTCAGAGGAATTCCGGTGATAATTTTGTTTCTGCAATGTATTCGGCATGCAAATAAACCAGTATTTCAAGCACCAACACGTTTCGTTTTTTCTACAACTCGCTTGTGTTATTTCCTCCGGTTTATTTAAATCTCGTCTTGTTTTCTCCTTTAATGAAAATGTAACAGCATTGAATATGAATGAATTGTGACTAGATTAACACAAGTTGTAGTAGAGTTATGTGTCATGAGCATAATCATTACATGTAATCGGTTAATAAGTACGTTTTGAGTTGCCTCTAATATTTATCGGCCATCTATTTCAGCAGCATTAACATAATGCATTATCCATAATATAGATTTTTTTTCGTTAGATCTCGTGAATATAAATGTTTCGTTAAACCCGCCACCACCCGACACAGCCAGTTAGTAAGGTTCGTCACGTAAGCAGAACATGCCAACTCGTTATTAGTACAGCACACCGGTGTGTTGGAGAGCACATCCACAACATATAAATGTTCTGCTGCTGTGAACTTATACAACGAATTACATTTGCACCCCGTTGTTAATCCATTGCTGAAGGAGAGACTCCCCATGCCACGTAGGATTGATGGTTATAGGTCCATACTTCACCACGCTCGTCCAGGGGTCGGCAGCCTGCGGCTCCGGAGCCGCATGCGGCCCTTTAAATGGATAGCTTCGTGACGTCATTTATTAAGGACCACCACTGTCTCATATTCACCACGTGCAATACAGCTCTTGAAATATTGAGGGTTTTTTTTATTCCAAATTCTAAAAAGTGGTTCTTGTTGTTATTTTGGTTGCCGACCCCTGCACGAGCCAACGCGAATAAAAACAAAATCAATTACCGATTAAAATAACAGGGCTCGTTTCTATCAACGAGTAAATGAAGACAATTTGGCCGAATGTCAATATTGTTGTTTCAAATTTATTTTGTTGAACCAAGTGAGAACTCAAAAGCATACAGAATAAAGTACAGCAACCAAGCAAATAGAAATCAGAAAACATTTAACCGTGTAAAATATAGTTTTCATCTCAGTGATAGCAAAAAAGCCAATTTTCTAATTTTCAATTAGGCTGTTATTCATAATCGACAACAGTTATTTGACATTTTTTTACTTTAAAAGGCTGAGTGCCATATACATGCTGTTCTTGCCATTAACAATGAGCACAGCTTGAAGTTTCAGGACTATTCAGTGTTAGGGGCAACATTTTAAAAACCAATTATGGATTAATTATGTTCTCTGTGTATTATATTCACGAAAGCTTTGTTCTGTGTGTCTATGTTGTGTGTCTCTCTCTGTGTGTGGCTCTGTGTTGTCTCTCTCTGCTTGTGTGTCTGTCTGTGTGTCTCCGTGTCTGTATTTTGGCTCTTTCTCAAATTTAGTTCTACCTGATGACGATTGCTTGTGTTGCAATCGAAATGTCGTATTTGATTATTTTATTTATTTTCTTTCTACGTGACTTTACCGAAAGAACCAAACAGCAATTATGGATAAATTCATTTACTTTCATGCATAACCTTGTGAGGCCCCTATTGAGACGAACCGTTTATCTTTCGAGAGTTGGATCAAACAAATCAGTAAACATGTATGTAAACATGTATGTACGTATGTAAACATGTATGTGTATGCATGTTGAACTTCATTCGCGCCGTACGTAGCCAACCGTCCTAATCGGAAGTGCGGTGGAAGGGCAACAAACTAAACACAAAAAGCAGTTCTAAAGAAATTCAAGGTAATAACAAGTGATTAATACGAGAATAATACATGATACAGTACTAACAATATAACATTAACACGTAAATATATCGTTATATATCATGCATACACTGTAAAGTTACAAATATTTCATTCATGTATTACATTAATACGATGTAGAATATTGCAATGAAGTAACATAACACACACGTTTCAAGCAACTATGGTAGTGTCGCTGAAAAGATGTTCATTTTGTAATTCTATTGGAAGTAGTTGTTACAACGGCGCTTGAGAATGCAGTGATTTAGTCTCAATGACTGGTTTGCGAGTGGGCGAGGTTGCCACTCGGCAAAGACGACGGGGGCACAAATGAGCTGTGGGCCCAAATTTTTTTCATAACGCAACAAATACTAAGCCCCAAAAGCGTCCGCCACTGTGCAGCTGAGTTACATGGGGTTCTTATTATTGACACTGGCTCTCGCTGGGCACCCACTTCTCTCTCCTCCCACCCCTGCATCACGTCACCGTACCCACCACTCACCCCTTCACGCCACCTTACCCACCACTCACCCCAGCAGATGTGAGGGCAATGAGGCCAAACAATTGGTATCCCCTTAAAAGCCAAACTGAGTCACGGCTCATTTATTGCTTTGTTTATAACCTCCTGCAAATGAATAGCCTCAACAAAACATCACAGATGTACCCGCTTCCTGTGTTTATGGCAAATACAATGTTTGTGGAGGCACATTTTGCGAACCATTCTATTTTTTTAATGCAATGGGTTTTCACGGTTGTGATGTATGGTTCTCTGATGTGTTCGACACGATGTCCCATGTGTCGTTCTACATACTGGGAGCTTCTTCTGGAAATGAATTTAACATCGGGCCACGATTATATATTTTTTAACAGTTATGACTTTCTCGATAAGCCTGCTTAGACGGTTTCTTCCTAAAAAGTAACTCCCAAGTAAATGACTGACAAACCCAGTCCTACCGTCCCTTATAAGGCTAAATAGGTGCAGAGTTTAACTTATATGGTGCCATTTTTAAATAATGATAATTTTAACTCTTTGTCAATCCACAACTGGATTAGGTCTTCCCAGACCACGTAAGTCATGAAGTTTGTTTGACCATACTTCTAGGAGCTGGTCAGTGCTGGTTAGTGAATGTGTGGGTCCAGGACCTATTCAAATAGCACCAATGTTAGCCGTGGCTGGTTATCTAACTCAGACAGCCAGTTTAAAAGTGCAGTGTACTAACCACTGCGCTACCCTTTTGCCAATGTTTTATATGTGTGAAAATGCATAATTGAGCTGGTGTCGGTGTGAATGCAGAGAGTTTAAAATCAACACTTCAGGAATGCACTTTTGCAATGCTTTGACTGACTTGGCCATTTTACATTCTTGGTATAATCATTAAGGCAAACGTTGTCAATCTCTGTACATCAGCTGTGTGCTTTGACATAAGCTTAGAAGTAATAATTGCACCATTGGCATCGGCCATCACGATGACCTCTTGATCACCGATCTGGATAATAATGAAATAGAGCCATGCACTTAAGAGTGAGCGCAAGTGGGCCGGCCAAGATGCCAGTGTTGTGCCCAAGGGCAATTTATGTTTGCGAGGAGCCCCTTTCTCTTTTTCTTGCCATCGAAATCCACCGGTACCGGTTCTGAGAAGCCATCCCCTGCAGCGCTTGGCAGCACACTCCCAGGCACCAAATGGAATTATAGAGGGACGCGGCTGGAGAGCAGGAGGGAGAGTGAGAGAGAGAGAAAAAGGAAGAAAGAGAGCAAACGGGTGCATTTCTGTGGTTTGGGGGGGGTGGGGGTTGTTGAGGGGGGTGCTCATTCCTCACAGAGATAATCCCTCCCACTTTCACACCGGCAGTCCCGTGGTCTGACGCAAGTCAGGGCTTGTAATCGGATTCACGGCTCAATCTGACAGAGAGGGTGCCGAGGCTGTGACAGATAAGGCCTCGCCTCCAGCACGCGAGCCCACTGCTTTGCTTTCTCTGGAGAAATTGCAAAGAAGATGAAGGAGAAAAAAAAATACAGGTGCTAGGGCTTAAATGGTGTTTAACCTCGAGCAGAGGGAGACAGTCCACTAATGACTACGGCATTTGTATTGCATTGTTTGTTTCTCAGTGGCTCGTTTGCACCTACAACTGATGTCTCAGGTAACCTGTGAAGCTGTAAAGTCGCAGGGTGGCAATACGGTTACTTATCAATCATCCAACCACTGATGCAAATAACATGCCTCTTCCAGTCAGTTCGGGTTACCCACACTGCCAAATACCTGCTATGCATAAGTAAGAAATGAACGAGGTCACAAAGCTGTCGGCAGACCTGCGTGATGCTATGCATGGTGCTATTTACCGGTCAGAGAATATTACAGCAGGCATCCAATAGAGTACAGCTGCGACGTCTTCCCACACCCTTTCCACGTGGTCTCCCTCTCTCACCCTCGGCTACCTGATTCCCGTCAAATTACCCCCTCCTCTCGCCTCGACTTCCTTTAAACCTTGCCATGGTATACAACCTCTCTCCCTGCCTCTTGTTACCCACGTCCTTTGCCCTCCTCTTCCTCAAAATCCTCGGCGGTGCAGTTTTGGCTTTTCTCGTCTCTTCTGGACCCCGTTAGTTACGGCCCCAAACACCTGTCCTATGAAATCAATCCTCCTCACCCATTCTTCACTGAAAAAAGAAATCACCGCGTGGTTTTGGAGTGACGTGCACCCTGGAACCCCGAGCGTGATTGCGCTCTTCAGTATTTATATGGCAAATGATGCACGTGTGTGTGTGTTTGTGTGTACTGTACTGTCTGTTAAGGCTATATGTGGGGAGCGGTAGTGTAGCGGTTAGTGCGCTGCGCTATGAACCTGGCGACCCGAGTTCGATTCCCGCTCACGGCCAACACCAGTGACGATTATCTGAACCGGTCCCGAGCCTCCCCTAGGTCGACTCAGC